AACTGACTGTGTTTAGAAAAGCCCTATCTATCTATCTGTCTATCTATCTATCTATCTATCTATCTATCTATCTATCTATCTATCTATCTATCTATCTATCTATCTATCTATCACCAGCTCAGAGCCCTTGCCACCAGTAATGCCCGCCGTTCGCCGAGCGCCCTGTGACTGTCACACAAGCTTCTGTTCCCTGGTCCCAGTTCCCCCAGTCGATCACCGCGGGAGCGCTCAGCCAATCAGAAACGTTCGCCTGCTAATCACAGGGCGGCGCTAGAACCAGCTACCCTAAGTGACTGTGTCGCTTCAACGATTTGCCGCCAGCTTGAAAGCAGACGATCTGTCCTCAGCGAGCCCTCTGATTGGCTGGCCTGGTCCGTGAGGTCACAGCGAGGCCAAACGACGGGACGAAGAATCAGCGACGTCTATAATGACCGCGGTTTTCTCTACGGGCCTTTGACAGCTCGTTGAATTCTGCTTCGACAAGCGAGTGACTGACTGACTGACTGACTATGCCATGCACTTGAAAACTGTGAGGTTCACTTTCTTCCATTTTACGTACACACACACAGTGCGTTGTCTACGTCGTGTTTGGTGATCGTTTTATCAAGAGTACCTCGCATGTGGTTGTGGAGAAATTCTTTACGTCACTTATCGCTTGCTGTTGTGTAACGTAGACACGAGCAAGTTGTGATGTCGGAGGTGTCATATTTCTCGTGGGTGACTCAGAGCTGATCTCAACTTTCTGACTGAGTGACGTAGTATTCGTAGGCAGTGAGCGGTGTGACTCCTTACCCGCACGACACGAGAGCAGAATCCGAAACCGTTCTGTGCTCATATTACCAGTCACGGCCTTCTTTGTAAGTCCACCTCGGATAAACGGGAGAGAAACTACATGTATGTTTTCGTATATAAAGAGTTAACGACAAAATAATCAAAATAGAACTATTTGTGTGGGAATTGCGATTTCTTTTCCCTTTCATTTCACATCTCGAAATTCTAGAGTTAATATTTTTGTTAAAAGATAATATCAGGTCTATTTTGTTTTAAATTAGGCTGCCGTTGTAGAGAAGAAAAGGAACTAATATAGACGTTCTAATGGGCACACCCACATCGCCATATTCATGACGGTTTTCACGACTTCTGATTGGTTTTATCGGAGAAAATAGTTGCGACATTCTCCCCTCAAAGTCGTGTGGATACTCATCATTGACAGACAGTGAAACAGAAAGTGTCCACTCGGCGACATAAGAGAATGTCGTCTTAACGGCCAGCTCACCCCCAGCCCCTGGGACGGTGATTACGACTACACAACACGTATCTCTTCTCCTCCACGTCAGACGTACCGGAGTAACACGCCCGCTCGTCCCCACATCTTTGGGTATACAGCAAGGGCGACCTTTTCCACCTCAGTCTTCGCCATGAACAGACCGACAGGCACGTCCAGTGAGTACACTAACTTTTACCAATCCATGGGGTGGGAGGTGGGTGGTGGAGGGGGGGGGGGTAATCAAGAAAGAACTTTAAGGGGCAAACAACATTTCTCCTGCTTGTTTTCACTAACTGTTAACTGTAAGATTTAAAACGTTGCACATTGTGTTGGAACTAATAAACATAAAATCCTCAATTGATAGAATTGGGCATGATAAAATAAAATACAAAAAAAATCTACACAAATTAATTAATACAAAAACAAAAATAAAAAAACTCTTACAAATTGTAAGCATGTTCCCTATTTATTAGTGCAGGAAATTCAGTTGCAAAAAATGCATATGTTAGCAGTTTCATAGTGAAAAAGACAAGTTCCAAGCTATAAGCTTGTATTACCCACCAGTGTGTTCAGAAAAGAATAAAACCTGATGTAGGAGGATACTGTAAGTAACTTGAAGTACAGCCAGGACAGATAGGGGGAAGCTAGAACAGGTGACAAAAACTAGGGAAAAAAACCCTTACAATTTGTTTTAAAGTTCAATACTAACAAAATAATAGATCTGATCATTTTTATGTACATTCTCCCTTTGTTCCAGCTTATAGTTGAAACATCAGGGTATTTATTTATATTCTCATAGTCTATGATTGTCTTTTAAGAATAAGGTCACTAAAACGGAACCCGAAGAGGGGACACTGTACCAACAAACAAAAAAAACCCAGACAAACTAACAATCGAACATGAAGTGCCGGCAAGAAGATATTAAATTATAAATGAGGAAGAAAGTAATAATGCAGCGTCTATTCTGTAAATGTGACGACTTCATTGAGCTAACCAGTGCCGTCTGTCGTCTGTCGTCTGTCGTCTGTTATCTGCTCACATCCACCCTGGAAATGTCCGGTTTCAAATCTATGGATTGACAATTCTCCTTAAGGCAATAGATGAGATACGCGAGCGGAAATTATTGTATCTATCATATAATTAAAGTGGATATATATTATTCAAATGTAGCCTTCTGATATTATACATTCTTTTAAATAAAAATAATAATAATAATAATAATAAAATTGATTAACGTGACCAGGATACTTTTTTAGCTTGTTTTTTTTTCAGTTTGTTTTTGTTTTGTTTTTCCTTTTTAAAATAAATCAAATAGACTGTTACAAAAAGTAATGAAGGAAGGTACTTCCTAAAGTCAGAATGTAATAAGCATAGTTTTAAAAAACAACTTACCAACAAATACGTGAAATTTTCCTATCTACGTTAGGTGCCTTATGTGTTATTATATTTTATTATGTAGTTTATTATTCATTCATTTTTTAAGATTAACTCTTTCATTTTAATTTATTTTACTTTATTTATTCCAAAATTATCATTAATTTGATTTCGTTATTTCATTTATTTATTTGCTTTTATTTTCTTTTTTTTTAGAAGGGGAATATGAAGAGTTTACTTTCTACGTTTGCCTAACGTAAGTCTTACTGACCTGTTCGTTTGGTTAATTTCAATAAAACTCTGGTTACAAATTAATTTTAATCGAATTGTATTATTCCTTCATTTAAAAGTCAAGGATATTCTTTTAAAGCTTTGATCTTTTAATCTTTAGTCGGGTATTATTTCATGAGTTGATGAGTTCGCGAGGAGTGGGTTTCTTGAACTCCCCCCCCCCTCCCCATGCACGAACACACACACACATACACACACACACACATACACACACATACACACACACACACACACACACACACACACACATAT